AGCTTTACAGTAAGATAACACACACTGACCCAGCAGATGACAGTTATTCAGTGCCCAGCAGTAGGCGTAAAAACATTCCTCTAGAGCTCTGGGAAAGGGTGCTTCAGGTGACAGAGAGTAGTCGACGGAGAGGACCGGGACATTCAGCTCCTTCGACCAGCTGCGAAGATAGTTCTGCAACACGAGTGGGTTAAAAGGCATGCGATTAATTTATATCCACAGGAATGCAAGATCTAGTGCTACCTGTTACTATTATTATCATTGGAATTTGAGTAGAATTAATCAGAACAGCTATGACAAATAATAATAATAATAAAAAAGTGTGTCTTCTGTAGTGTACCTCGTGAGATCTCGAAGTCTGGGCCACAAAGCCCCCTCCATGGAAGTGGATGAGCAGCCAGGGGGAGCGAGGCTGTTTCTGTACCCAGGGCAGATGGGTGGAGATGGGGGGAGGCTTAGCACGGGACAAAACTAGAAGCTCTTCACTGTCCTGTAAAGTGAAAGGATGAGGAATGGGATCATAAAATAAAGAAAACAAAGCAATCAAGTCTTTTAACAGAAGTCATCTTTCAGCATGTGTACAACCACATTTTTGCAGCTCTCTAATAAAAACCTTGAATATTTCCCCTGTGCTCATTTTTCATTGCCCATCCATAAGCAAATTTTACTGGTTACTAAAATAGCTCTACTAGCTTTATCCAATCTCAAAAACACATAATACAAAAAATACAGAATGTATTTCCTCGCTTATTCTGTAAAAAGTCTGATCCTCACCATATTGGTCAGTTGTGTCAACAACTGTATTTACATATTATAGTCTTTTAAATGCCTTCTCTACATAAAATGTCTTTTTTTCTTCTTCTTCTACTCTACGAGTTGTTGACCTTCACCTGTCCTTCTCGGAGTTCATAGGAGATCAGACGCATGTGGACTGGCCCGGGGCCCCAGTGAGCTATTGGAGGTGACACGGTGACAGACAACCTGGGGTCGGAGGCCAGAGGAAGGCATAGAGTGACTGGAGGCACGGTCATGGTGAAGTTTACTTGCACTTGTTTGGAGGCTATTCTGTTGAAGCCCTGAAAAGAGTAAGAAATGGAAGAAAGTTCAAATGCTGAAGATAACTTTAGGTAAAAGACAAGCAAAAGAAGGAGTCTGTGATACTACCTACTGCTAATAGGCCGGACTCTGTGAGGTTCCAGAAGGACTTCCAGAACTGCATGTCCAGATTCTGGGTAATGCGCTCAAACTCAGCGCCCCGGAGCTCTGGATCAATAACATACTTCCCTGATGTGAGGAGAGACAAGGCTGCTGTTCCTAAAGGAGGACAGATACTTATTTTAAAGATGGTTAAAGGTAAAAATGCCCATTTAGAAGAAGGAAATGTAACTTTTGACAACATCCTAAATAAAAAAAAAAAAACTCACCTAAGCCAGACTGTTGTTTACCATAGGTTTCTCCATATGAAACCATACTTATGACAACAGTCTGCAGGAACGGGCGAATGGAAGGGGAGTACTGTGAAACAAAATAAGAGGGGCATTTAATAAATACATTCAAAAGACAGGCATCTTACTTATTTTTACAAGTATTAATTACCACCACATAACATAAGAGACTTGTGTGAAAGACCTAGGGATCGGTTCACCCTGCCTGGGACAGGGTTACCAGGGGCTCGCCCTGGAGCCAGGCCCAGGAGCATCTGGTGGCTGGGCCTTAATCCATGGGGCCCAGTGTAAACTTACCTAATCTGCATATAGTAAGCGTAATGAGCCTATATTACAGTACTTGATGATAGTCTGTGAAGTCTTTGCTTTTATTTCTAAATAATAAAAATAAATGGAATTTAAGCTGCCAGAAATTAAATCGCAGTTAAAATCCTTGTCATGTTTTTATTAGGGGAAAGGTCTAAACCTTGGCTGCAGGTGGCAGAATTGACAAATCAAACCAACAAAAATATATATATAAATATATATATATAATAAAACAATAAAACTGATTACAAATATGTCTCCGCTGTTGGCTGACCTGAAAGCCCAGACAGCGGCCGTAGAAACACGCTTTGTGCATGGAGGAGTACTCCTGCACAAAGCTGCGGCTCAGGTCCTTGTCCTGCAGGGAGTACAGCTGGCCGCAGTCGTTGTCGTTGATCAGCTGCTGGGCGAGATGGAGAAGAGCTCGGAGCTGGCAAAGGGCGCTGCAGTACGCCTCCATCTCAGACGTGTTGTGGTCAACCCTAAAGAAGGGGTTGCTGTAACTGGAGGCAATGTAACGGGCTTTGTGGATGATGTGCAAAAGGCAAGCCTCCAAGACCTGAAAGAAACAACAGGATGAGAGGTTGGAAGGCAATGATACATGAAATGCACATGTTTATTATGGCTTTTCATGAAATATAGTTAATTTTAAAAAAGGCTCTCATGCAGCCCAATCACACTGAGATGATGGGCTTTTTATATCTGTAGTGATTATTATAACATTTATGATGTGCTCCAAAAC